AAAGGGAATGAATTTTGAGGGCACACAGTCAGACCATAGCAGGTCTCTTCTGCCTGTGCACCTGAGCACCTGTAGTCCCAGCTACTTCAGAGGGCCGAAGTGGGAGGATCAGTTGAGCCCAGGAGTTTGAGGGCAGCCTGGGCAACAAAACCCCCTTCTCCAACAAACTCACAAACAAGAGAATCAGTTGCCTTCTGAGACCAGTACACAATACAGTGAACTCAGTCATTCAGTCATTCACGCCTCAATAAATAATAGCCACCAGGTCCTTGTCAGAGATTTGAGAAAATGATAAGAACCCAGACAGGTGCCGGTCCCCAGGGAGGGCGCTGGGTGGAGTCTAAGCTCCTGTTTCTTTCTACGTAGCCAGCCCAGCAGCACAGACTCTTAGGCAATCGCCAGGGAAATGGCCTCGCCCCACCGCCCCGCCCGCCCCTCCCAGGCTGTCCAGGCGACACGCCTCTTCCCCCTTCCGCAGAGCTAAAAGGCCTGCGGGCGCTCGGCGTTCCTCCACACCCGGATCCGGCACCCAGCGCAGCGAGTTTCCCTGTGCGCAGCGGGTAAGGCTCGGCAGGGTCTCAGGGTCTCGCGGGGAGGTGGTGCGGGAGGCGGAGAGGCCCGACCCCCTCCCTACACAGCCCCTGCACGGCCCCAGGCGCTGCACCACCGCCCCGACATCTGCCAGCGCAGCCACCGCCCTGAGACCCGCGTGACACCACGTCCCCGGATTCCCGCTGGCCGCTACCAGGCAGCAAGGCCAGCCCTGCTAAGGCGGAGGGAGGTCGGAGGATGCGGGCAGAAGGCTGGATGGAAACTTGCAGAAAGCGGAACGCTTTGCTTCCTGAATTCCGCTCCTCTGAGCTGGGGCAGTTTCCAGGCAGCCCTAGGGCGAGCCACTTCTTCTGGCGGCAGGATGGGCAAAGTGCAGCATGGTGCTGTCTTAGAGATTATCAACAAGAGAATAAAACTGTACTTACACGCTGGGGAGGCAGCTCAACTATTCTTAATTTGCCTGTTCTTGGCGGGGGGGGGGGGGAAGGAAACTAAGTTTCTGAGAGTAGAGATCGAGAAGGGTTAGTGGGTGGCCAAGCCGAGATTCCGCAGTGACAGAGGACACTTGTCCCCATCTCCTTACACAGCTGGCTTTCCCAATGCTGAGCTGTGTTGGATTTTCAAATACACACCTCCCGGCGGCGCGTGTGGCTCAGTGAAGAGGGCGCGGGCCCCATATACCGAAGTTGGTGGGTTCGAACCCGACCCCAGCCAAACTGCAACAAAAAATAGCTGGGTGTTGTGGCAGGCGCCTGTAGTCCCAGCTACAGGGAGGCTGAGGCAAGAGAATCGCCTAAGCCCAGGAGTTGGAGGTTGCTGTGAGCTGTGATGCCACCGCACTCTACCAAGGGCAGTAAAGTGAGACTGTCTCAAAAAAATAATAAATAACAATCAAACACACACCTCCTGTGCCAGCTCTGAGACACTAGACACTGGACCTCTTATACATTACTGAATGAACCTTGAAAATAAGAATAATTATATCATCAATTATAATTATATCTTTGCTAGAGTTTGTTTTAATGTATTGGTAGCTATGATCTGATAGAAATGTTCTTATCTTGGGCTAAGTAGGCATTGGATTTATTGTCCAAATCAACCAGAGACTTGCACCAAAGGTCAGAAATTGTGCATGCTCCCAGACTCGGTAGGGTGGAAGGACCCAGGGCTGGGCGGCTGTGTCAGTGCCACAGTGGCCTGGCCCTCTCCTCAGACCCAGCTGTCTGCAAGATCAGAGCCCTTTATGACACCCTGTGTCCTGATGCTGTGTTACTGCTGAATCATTGACCAGCTTAGTCCCACATTTGTGTGCATGAGGAAGTGTTCTTTTCCTACTGGGGAAAAAAGAGAGAGAGAAGAAAGGACAAGTTGCAGGGTGTTCCAGAATCATCGGCACAAGTTTTGGGGGAGATTTTGGGGAAATGGTGCTGTCTATTTTGCTGCCATGAGCAATGGGCAACCTGGGACCTCTGTTCTGTGTTGTAGCCTTCACCATGGAGAAGCTGAGTGCAGCAAACAACCACTTCGCCTTAGACCTGTTCCGCGCCTTGAATGAAGACAATCCGACTCGAAACATCTTCGTCTCTCCCTTCAGCATTTCATCAGCGATGGCCATGATCTTTCTAGGGACCAGAGGCAACACTGCAGCACAACTATCCAAGGTCAGCAGAAACAAACAAAAGAGGTCTGCTTTCCCTGCTGTCTTCCTGCTCATACATTCTGAGGTCGGACTTTCAAAACAGGCCCCAGCATAATCCCTTTGCGTGCAGGCTTTCTGTTCATCTTCAGGTCTTTACTGAGCGTCTGCTTTGTGCCAGGCACTGTTTATTGTTTTGCTGGGGATACAGCAGTGAACAAAACCAGTAAAAAATGTCCCTTCCGGATGATGCTTCCTTTCCAGTGGACGCATCTGACAGCTTTCTGTAAGCCACCACACCTTGTTCTGAGCTATCAGTTTGCAGTTTTTGCTTTGCATATGGGGATCTGTGACTCACACCTAATGCCTCTTACGCAATGTTGCCTTTGAGCATAACGAGAGCAATGAGACATAGGGTATGCACTAGAGCAGTGGTTCTCAACCTTCCTAATGCTGCAACACTTTATTTAATACAGTTTCCGTTGGGCAGGTCCCACAGGTTGAGAACCCCTGAACTAGAGGATGATGGTGGTGGTACTGCCTTTTGTGGAAACAAAGAAGAAGGCGACCCTGTGCCTTCTGTATTCCCAGGGCCCGACCCTGTGCCTGGCACTGCTCATGGCTCTGTGGGATCTGGCAGTGTTGCCTGTGCAGGCAGGCCCTGCAGGAGAGGGCACGGGGAGGCCCAGTAGCTTCAGGAGAAGGACCCAGCCCCTGGCCATGTGGGGCAGGTACTCTTGTGCCCAGCCTTCCCTCCCATCCTTAATGGGCATGGAGGGGACCTCTGTGCTTGGTGCTTTCTAATTCTGAGAGGGGAACTGTAGCTTTCTTTTGAAGCCCAGTGGAAAGTAGTGATAAAAGTTGAGGTTCTTCTAACTCAGCTGCCACAAGTTATCCTGCACCTGTTCCTCAAGAAGGTGTAGCCCTGGGGTCAAGTTCAAGAGACTGCAAACATTCCATGACTCATCACTACTGATAAGAAAGCATCTTTTTTTTTTTTTTTGGTACAGACAGTCTCACTTTATCACCCTCAGTAGAGTGCCATGGCATCACACAGCTTACAGCAACCTCCAACTCCTGGGCTTAGGTGATTCTCTTGCCTCAGCCTCCCCAGTAGCTGGGACTACAGGTGCCCACCAGAATGCTTGGCTATTTTTTTTTGCAATTTGGCCCGGATTGGGTTTGAACCTGCCACCTTTGGTATATGGGACTTTCGCCCTACCCACTAGTCACATGTGTTGCCCAAGAAAGTATCTTAAAACTTTTTTTTTTAATTTGCTTTTTTTAAACCACTGAAACTAATTTTTAGTAACTTCTTGCAGAGTTGTATCAACTCCTTTTCTGAGCCTTCCCGGGGACTTGATAACCTCAGCAAAGAATAGTTTTAAGTATCCCCCTGCCATTTCCTTTAAAGCAGAGGGATTATAGTAACAATGCAAACATTCCTGATCTCCAATGAGTAATGTGGACTCTGTATTCTGCATAGTTTTGTTCTTTGTGTCTTAATAACAAGGAACCATCCCAGGCCTCATAAAACCATTAAGGATCTCTTAATGTGTAGCTAAAACATGAGAAATTAAGCTTTTGCCAGAATGTTAAGCTTAAGGAAGTTATTTTTAAGTGAGTTCCTGGTGCTAATAGATTAACAGACCCATAAATATTCAGTGCACTAACCACTCCCATTTGTGGAATTATATAATTATTTAGACTATAATTATAACTAAAAAGTAATGATGTGAAAGCAGTTGTTGGTGTAACTATTATGTCTCACGAAGTTATAAATTTTGGGTTCCCTATTGTTTGTTCTTCAATAACAAATTAATAAAGTATTGGGCTGAAGACCATTGGCAATCAGTAATGAATGCAAATTAATTTAATTAATTTGATAGACACAAGGAGGAATCACTTTGTAATTTTAAAATAAATGATTGTAGAAGGAATGTTTTCTTTATTTTAGACTTTGCATTTCAATACGGTTGAGGAGATTCATTCAAGATTTCAGAGTCTGCATGCTG